GCCCGTCCGGCCCTGCCCCTCGCAGCGCTGTCCCTGTCACCTCCGCTGGGCTTCCCCTGAGTGTCCCCAGGTCGCTGTGGTGCCGCCGCCGCCCGTTCCCGCTTGCTCCGGGAGGTGAGATTTGGCTGCTGAGCAAAGGTTCACATTGGGGATTTTTTTTTTTCCCTTGTCTAGGCATTGACCCAGTGTGTGTTTGCACAGATGCTTGGTTTTAAACCCAACAAGTCCTGGTGGATTAATTGGGATTTTTCACGTGCTTTAAGATGAAAAGAGCATGAGAGGCTTGTTTTAATGTGCAGGCTTCTTGTGCTGGGAGATGCTGCTTCAAGGACATGATTCATAGGTGTGTTTTGTCCCAGTGTAAACAAACTGCAGCCCAACCCCTCGTGCCACCTGGAGAAAAAATAATCTACAAAGTTCTTAACGCTCAGGAAAGTGTTAATTTAAATTCACTCTAAAAAGAAAAGCAGCTCCTTGGGGGGCAGAGCTTGGAAAGGGCCTGTCTGCCTTTTGCTTCCTCACTGCTGACTCCTGAGAACTTTTCTCCTGAAGCCTCAGAGCAGGACCCATGACTGTGACAGATCCCAAGCCAGGGGTGCTGGGCAGGTGACTTTCCTGTCTCCCTGCCTCAGTTTCCCCAGTGTGACGAGCTGGGCTGGCCAGGGGCCTTGGCACAATATGGGCCATGGAAATGTACAGGGACCAGAGTAGGAAAGTTTGCCTAAATAAACTGAGCAGTTGATTTTGCTTTTAGGAGGAAACTGAAATTCTCACATAACATCAAATAGTTCTAGTTGCTTGTGGCTTTCAGGGCACTGCCAGCCTAAAGCTGGTTTTATTGCTTTTAAAATAGCCAAAGTTAGCAACAATGGGTTGTGTAAACTTAGATGCAAAAGTCTGATAAAATGTCCAGTTCTCTTACTTTCCTGGCTTATGCCCTTATTGTCACTGTGTTTGTACCAACTGCAGCTCCCCCAGCAAAAAAAAATTAAAAAAAGGTAAAGTTTGGAAATTTAATTTGAAACATTTGTGTGTTAAATCATCTTATTATCTGCAAGCTTGAGATAGGAGGAGGTCCAATGCTGGAGAGCATGTAGTTTGGCAGACCTGTGTTCTGGCTGTGCTGTGCTTGGACAGCAGCTGGGTGTGTAGTAATGCCTGAGTTTCCCTGGTCCTGGAGGAACTGTGTAAAATCTCTGGCACGTGAATGAGACCTCACCCCATGATGGGAGTGAAGAGCGTGGCCGAGTATTGGTGGTGCCAAGGACACAGGACAATAAAGTCCCTGTAGCATTTTGTGTGAGAAGCTACAGGTCTGTTGTGATGGGAAGAAAAAACTGGTTAGAAATTTGAGCAAAGCAGGGAATTTAAATGGAGGGTGAGACTAAGGGACTGAGACATTCTCATTTTGGATTATTTAAAAAAACTGTTTTGTTCCATCCTGCCCTTCCTCTCCCTCTCTCACAGTGGCACTTGGTGTCTGGTGTTCCCCCCTCAGAAGCCCAGAGGCTCACCCTTAACCTTGGCTCTGCCCTGTGCTCGTGCTGAGTGATGCTCCAGTGCCCAGGGGAGCTCCTCTGTGGAGCAGGCAGGCACTTGGGGTGCTGGATGTGGATCACAGCCTGGCTGGAGTGAGAGTCTTCTGGGTAGCACCCAGCATGTGGTGGGGCCCAGGGTCACTGGGACCCCCACTTCAGATTGAAAGAAGAGGAAGAAAACCTTTTTCCTGGGAAAAAAAGTTCCTGCTGTTCAGCTCCGGCTGGGCAATACAAGGAGTGGGGGAGAGCAGGAGGGATCACTCGGTGCCGTCACCCCAGCGAGGCAGAGCTGGGCTCTGCCAGGTGTGCACAACCCGGCCCTGGGTCCCTGCTGAGAGCAGGGATGTGTCAAGTGCTCCCGAGGCTCCCGGTGGGATTCACAGCCCCACGCAGCCTGAACAGCCCCGTTGATCCCAAAACAATCCCCACTTGTTAGGGCAGTGACGCCCGCCAGGCGAGGGGCTGAGGGCGAAGCCTGAGCCTCTCGGTTCCTTTCTCTCCTCAGACATGAAAGCACAACCAGGCTGCGTGACCAGACTGGTTTGTCAGCCGCTCTGGTATTCAAAGGGGAAGGTCTGGCCAAGTGTGGTGTTTTCCCCTTTTCCCCGAAGTGCTGTGGGTCACATCTGGCTGGTTTGGGAGCCACTGGAGCCAGGGCAAAGCTGCCAGCTGGTGCCACAGGCAAGGGGAACTGCAGTAACTGCTGCTGGGTGTTCCTGTGCTCAGCACACAGGCAGGCAGAGCCACCTGCCAGCTCCAGGAGCACCAGGCCCAGTGCAGTTCATGGTGGTTGTTTCCCTTCAAGTGATGCAAAATGTATTGTTCCTGTCCCAGAGCATCAGCAGACGGGGAGGCAGGGGGGTAGCTCTGTGTCAGCATCCCAAAGATCTGGGTTACTGGAACCAGGAGGGGTTTTTGTTAGACCTGCTGCAGCCCTGGCCTGCTGACCCCAGCTCCAGGAAATCCAGGTGGAAACTTAAGGAGCTTGAAAGACACTGGGCAGGGATTTCCCCAGCACCACATCTTTGGTGGCAAGGAGATAATTTGCTGCTAAAGAAACGTTTTCAGGAGGGGTGGGTCGGTGGGAGAGGAGATTCCCTCAGGATCAGATTAGACAGAGTGGGGGAGCATCACAGCAGTGAGACGGGGCTGGGGGTTTTAATCAGCCTCTCTCATTAACATACAGAATGAGCTGCTGTTTTTTTACCAGGAGGACAAACAAGCTCTGTACTTGCTAATCTCCCTTCTTGTGTGTCTGTATCTATAATATTTATATAGATACTTATACACACACTTAAACAAGAGATACAAGAATGCAGCTCGGGCGAGCAGAAAGAGCTTTTTTAAATGCCTGGAGATCTTCCAAAGGCAGCAGCTCCCGCCGGCAGCGACCCCGGGAACAGCTCCTGCTGCAGCCGTGCCAGAGCGTGCCCGGGGGTCAGCTCTGCTTTGGCTGCACTGTGTGGGGAAACTGAGGCTGAAAAGCCAGAGCTTCAGCTTCCCCCTTGTCCGTCGCGGAGGTGAAACAATGTGAGGTGGAGCCTGGGGCTGCTGGGCACCAAGGCTGAGGACCTGCCTGGGCTGCCTCACAGGGTTGCTGTTGTCTCCTGCTTACAAAAAAAGAAGACCTTGGAGGTGCAGCTGGGCAACCCTGTAACTGCAGCATGAAGAACCTACCTGCCCCTTGGCAGGATGGGATCACTTCCCTCTGCTGCCAGGGGATGGAAGGAGAGATGGAGCTTGTATCCAGGTGGAGCAGAGATGACCAGGGTCAATGGGAGCCCAATGGGAGGTTTCTCTGATACTTAAGTGATGGAAAAGTGCCAGAAACTGAGTGTCTGGAGGGGAGGGCAGACAGGACTGGAGCCTGCTGTCTCTGCTCTCTTGTTATCCCAGTTTCCAGGGAGGGAGGCCTAATTGTATTTGCTGTTGGCTGTCTTCCATCTGGGATGCCTGTGGTCAAAGGCAAGGTGTTTCCTTGGCTTTAACTCTCAGCAGAGATGTTTTACAGGGTTGTGACCAGAGCCCTGAGATGGAAAGGGCTCCTCAGTCTCCCGCAGACCATCCTCCCACTGACCCCTCTGCAGCCCCAAACAATTTTCTGCCCCATTGCTGCCTTCCAGGGAGCCAGAGCTTTTCTCTTCTCCCTCCCCCCTGCAGAGGGGCAGCTGGGCATTCTCACATTAATGCTCAAGCTCTTGGTTTCCTGCTGTTTTTCTTTTCCCATTGTATGGAAAAGAGCATTTCCCTGTCTGGGGCAAGAGGGCAGCTCCACGGCTGAAGGAGATGGGGTCTGGGAAGGGGGCAGGGAGGGCTCACCCAGGGGCTCCCCACGGGCAGCACGTGGCAGCTGGACGTGGTGGGTGCGGAGGGTGACGTGTTTGGGGATGATGTGGAGGTGACTGTTGATGGCAAGAGGAGGGTTTGGGCAGGAGGAGGAGAGGCCCTGACACATCCCGGGGCTGCCAGATCCAGACACCGTTCCTGCTCCTGCCTGATGACTGGCAAGGCACAGCCCAGGAGGGATGAAGCTGCTGGTGCTGCAGGGAATTCAGTCACCTGGCAGAGGGGGTGTCAGGGGTGGCACGGGGTGCGGGTCAACACCCTGAGGTGGGCAGGGAGGGACGAGGCTTCACAAGCAGATTTTGCAGCAGCAATTCCTGG